GTTGATAATGTCTCCTTTCTGGTTTTTAATGCTCATGTGTATATCTAGAAGGATAATTCGACCAATATAACACAAATTGCAATTATATCATCAGAAAATATGGTATTTGAAGTTTCTAATGGTATTGTTTTGTGATATATAACCCGTGTTGTGTTAAGTTGGTGAAATCATCGATGCAGAGATAAGCATGGTCCTTTTAAAGTGAAAAAGAAGACAATATGAATGAGCTGAACTTAGATTGGACGATAGATTATCGAAACATCTGTATAACAAACCAATGCATGTAAGTATTCAGTAATCACTAGCCCAAGTTTGCATGGATAATGATAGTGTAAGTGATTTTTCATGTGCTAAGTCTACCGACTTTTCAGTGTAGCAGCAAAAGTGAGATGAGGTTGTAATGTCCATTTTTGTAAATTTCTGTCCACAACATTGAAAAAATAGAAGGTTTCGAGCGGGAGACAAAATTATCACGCAACATCTATGCATGGAAGATTGGAGGCAAATAAGGACCTCAAAATGAACAAACAAACAAACAAACAAACAAACAAAATCATTCGGTAAATCTAATAAATAGAAGGAGTGTACAATTTGTTGTTGTTAAATGCTAGTCAAAATATTGCGGTTGGATGTTTCTAAAAATAAAATTCGGGATACAAATATTTTGCAACACTGATTTTTGCTCTGGCCAAGATGATAAACTCTATAGTTTCTTCAAATATTTCTAAAAAAAGATTGGAAATCATGTGATCATAGTATATATTGTACTTAGGAAATTATCTCTACTCCTAATGGAGCAGTTGGTGAATAGTCTCCACGGTTTATTTTCGCTGGGTTTTTTTGTCTCTCCTCCCACCACCCCCTCCCATCCCGGTCCATCGGTTTATTTTTCTTTCCACTCTTTATTACAACCAGGACTTTTCTAACGCATAACAAATCATGGATCTAACTTCCTTAAATTATTCATATCAATCGATCCTTTTATTGGTTCAATTTGTCTTAGGAAACAAATAACAAATTTTTAAGAAACAAATAATAGATTTGAATCTAACTTTCCTAACTTATCTAAATCAATCGATTTATCTCATTAGTGAATTTTGTTTTAGGAAACAAATAACAGACACGTCACAAACTTTCCTCCCAATAAATAGTTTCTTAACATTTGTAAACTTTCCTAATCAGACACGTCACAAACGGGCAGGTACTGATATCATGTTACCAAACAATAAAATCC